TAACAAAGAAAAACAGTTAAGTGGTGGGGTCAATGGAAAGAGTTGAAGGATTCTAAAAACCAGCTTCTCAGCTTTGTACTATGGTGTCTGCAGCCCATCTCCTTTTTCTCCCCTCCCATTTCCTAACCCTTACTGGTTTTGTGGGTACAATAATTTGGATATTGAATACTTTGTATTATGGTGTTGTACCATTGATAAGTATTTGGCTTTTTTACATAAAAATTAATTTTATATTAATTTAAAATTAACCTTGAAGAAAAAAATCCAGACTCTTCTGTTATGCTTAGTAGTTTCGTAGAGAGAAAATAGTCCATAAAACAATCACAAAAATCTCCAACCCTGCTGACATTTCTTTACCCCACATACTAAATAGTGTAACGTTTAAGGAAATTCAAATCGTTGCTCAGCATTTAAGGAAATAATTTTCCTTTGGCCTTTATTATAAGACAGTCACAAAACTGATATGTTAATTCCAGAAGCCCAAAGTAGAAAATCAGACCTGACCAATTAAAATCAGATTAGTCCATAGACTGCAAGTCACATGAAATTACAGCATTTCAAGAAATTTTCACTGACAAAATGTTTTGTTTTTGTTTTTCCTTTTCTGGTGTTCTTTTGGTAAGATGGCATGCAATGTTTTTTTTTTTTTAAAGCTAGGTTTGATGTTTTAATGATGATTTACTTCTAGGAAGTTATTACTCGAATTGTGAAGCTTGTTAGAAAAAAATACCTGAGTACTGGATACAACTGGACAGTTCTAAAAGCACTCCTATCTAGGCAAGCATGAGTCATCACTTTCCTCTCTTTTTATGCTCTTTCTTTCAGTTGAAGTACGTTGTTAAGCCTATGAATTCTACTTGGTCCACCAGATGGAACCACATATTTTTTCACTCTACTTAATGGGCCATCTTGGCTAGATGGTTTTCATTATGGATTGTCTTTGATTTCTTTTAATGTTATATAGGGTGGTAAGACATAAAAGACAAAATTCCCTTCCTCTGTTGGGACTGGACCAGGAAGGGACTCCAAGAGGGCAACAGACTGAATAAAGTAAAACCTTAACAAGGCAGCTCAATGAGAACATTTTTTTTTTTGCCTACTGCACAGAGTGGGGCAGCTAGATAGTGGTGCGGTAGATAGTGTTGGGCTTGCAGTTCAAATCTAGCCTCTGACACTTACTAGCTGTGTGACCGTAAGCAAGTCACTTAATCCCATTTGCTTCAGTTTCCTCATTCATAAAATGAGCTGGAGAGGAAAATGGCAAAACAGTCCAGTATTTCTGCCAACAAAACCCAAATGGGGTCACGAAGAGTCAGACACAACTGCACAATAAACAGTCAGAAGCAGTAAATGGGACTTTATGCAGGGTGGTGATTTTTCCATTCTTGGTATTTATCTGATGGTTTCCTTCTTTCTCCTGCACTGCTTTCTCCCCCATCCCTTCGCTCCCACTCCCACTTTATTCTCTCTCTCTCTCTCTCTTCCTTCTCAGTGAAATGCTGAAAAGAGGAGGATGAGAGAAAAATGCCCCTACGCCAGTTAGGGGGCCTTGAAAAGAGCACAATCCAAAGCTTATTCCATCACAGTCTAGTTAGAGAGGGTGCTGGGTGCTCCTTGCAACTCATTTCCATCACCAATGCTTGTTGATTTGAATTGATGTAACTAAGTAGGGTAGAAAGAGAGGTAGAGTATTATTCAACCTGCTCTAGGCAGCCAAAATTACGTATGCCAATGCTTAATTACAGTCGTGCCCTTTAGGAAACTGCAACTCAACAGCCTAGGAACATCACCAGTGTCCTAGGGAGAGTCATCCAGGAACCGATAAGACCAGTGACTGCACTGGAATGCACATGCCAAGCAAGATATGACTAATTGTGTACTACTCTGCAGGGCTGATTCAAAAATACTGGCTGGCAATAATCCTGGAGAAGACTGAGAGGCTTCTAGAGTGCAGGGACTGTGTCTTGTCACCTTTGCAGACACATATCTTGCTCACAGAAAAAGGCTCAACAAATATCAAATGATTAATGAAAGAATGCTTAAACCAAGGAAGACCTACCTACATATGGTGTAAGATTTTTGCTGGCAACACAAGGATGAACGCTGAATTCTGCTATGCAGGCAGCACTGTCTGATGATGCATTAACTGACAAAAAAAGGGGAGACTCAAGTCAAAAAATGATGGTGGGCTTTTTGAAATATGAGTAGACCAAGTCTAGAACCAATATGGTATTAGGCTCCAAATTAGACTAAAGCTTTATAGGGTCAATGCCTCCTAATTTCCTATGCGCTCTACTCACACACATACCATAGATATATTTAGTTTCTTGACCACTTTAATATAATCCATGTGTTATATACTGAATGGCAGAGTAACCAATGGCTGTGTGTGTGTGTGTGTGTGTGTGTGTGCGCGCGCGCATGCGCGTGTGCATGCGTATGCATAAGTATTCCTGTGAAGCAAATATTCATGTAGCTATAAAGAGAGGGGTAGAAGTTTTTGGGTGAAGAACTCATGTCAAGGGTCAATCAAGGAAGCAGAATGATTAAATTTGGCCAAAGAAAACTGCAGCCACAAGTCAAAGGACATCTGCTATGAAGAAATTGTTGGTTGGACTTATTTTTGTCATCCCTTGCCTGCATATACACAAAATAATCACCATCAGTAACATCTTTGAATGGGGATGGTATTAGTCTAATTAATCTAATTATTACAGTTAGCTCAACAGACCACACACATTAATGAATACAACTATGATTTTGTACTTGCAATACTTCTACCGCTTTCAGGAAAAAGATGAGGTCTTTATTTGAAGACCTCTAATTTGATTAAACAATTTTCTCAGAATGCCTCCCAGACATTCTTGTTTATCCTTGCCTTTCTCTACCCAACCTTTTCCTTGGAAATGTCCTTGTATGGAGGTGTTATTCTTACGTGGTGAAAGCTCTTCAAGATGTCATCCTCAGGGAAAATTACTTCCTATCACCTGGACAAAGGGCCCTTGAGCAGGTTGCCAAGGCCTAAAAAGGTACTGATAACCCACACACTGTGTGCAGGATGGTCATCCCTGCAGGATGACTGCTGGACCTTTATTTTCAACTCCTAAGATGAACTGGCCCTGTAGAGGGGTAGGTTTGTATAGAAATGGGCCCCAAAGATCTTGCTACAGTCACTTGGAGGATTTTTTGACTCTGGTTTGAAATAAACCATAAATCCAACAGTTCAGTCAAAGAACAGGTTGATTCTGGATATCCACCATAAATGACCTTGATAAGCTTCGAGGACACCTTTGGACAAGCTGGTCTGAATAAAATCCATCCAGCACTTCACAGACCCTGGAAGACAAAAATTGAAACCTGGTAAGAACCATTTATTTATTCAATAAATATCTGAAGAACTACTACAGCAAGACTAGAAATCAGCTAGGAGCTAGACTAGATCCCTGAATGGCTGCACTATTTTCAGGATTGTTATGACCTAAACAGTTTTGAAATTTCATACATTCTCAACTGCTCATGGTTCAGAAGTGTGAGCAAGAAACACAACCCAGGCCCTTTGCCAGGCAGAAAGGCCTTGGGGGACCAGCGGCAAATTGTCCTAAGGTTAACTCTGGAACAAATTTTGGAGTCTGAGGACCTGGGTTAGAAGCTGGGCTGTTACTGTTTGCAAGTAATAATCTCTCAGACCCAGTTTCCTCCTGAGGAAATTGAAGGGGTTGGACAAGATGACCTCTGAAGTCCTTACCAGTGAAAAATCCACAATTTTAGGATTCTACTATGCACCCAGCTTCCCACCAAATATGGTAGGATTTGCATTTTGACTGTGAGTCCTTAAGACCCAGTGAGAGAGTGCCATCAGTGAAGTCTGAGACTGAGCAAAAAGGTAGGACATACTTTGGTAGCGTAAACATGGGAGGAGATATCAACTTCTGAAAAGCTGCTTTGCCCAGGATTCCAAACATCTGCAAGAGTAATAAGGCACTGAAGTGAGCCTTTTCTCCCTCTCTTTCCTGAACCTAAACAGCAGTCAGTGCCTCCTTCCCCACGTGAGATATGGCTTCTTGGCCACCCAGAGGTTTGGTCAGTCTGAGGATGCAGACCAGAAGCCAGAGGGAAAGTGAAAAGGCAGAGCAGCAAAAAAACATCACAGGGGCAGACAGGGAAAGGAGAGACTCCTGGAGCTGCCTGACCCAGGAGAAAGGTAGTGGGCTGGTAGAAGGGGAGATATCAGGAGGGGAGCAGGGAAGAAGGGGAAGACCAAGCTAGAAACTTGGGCTGGGCTAGTGGTGGGAGGAGGAGGAGAAAGAAGAAGGGAGAAGAGGGAGGGGAGAGGAAGAGAAGTAGGGGTGAGGAAGGGGCTGGGAAGAGGACTGGAAGAAGAGCACAGGGTCAGAGACCGAGAACTGGAAGGGACCTTAGAAGTCAAGCCCTTGATATTATGGATGAGGAAAATGAGTGGGGGGTTAAGTGACTTTCGGGTTGGTGGCGGTCTTGGGGGATGATCATACACGGAATAAACAATTGCCAGAGATGGCGTTTGAACTGAGGTCTCCCAGCTCTATCCACTGGGCTATCCGGAGGAGGGGAAAGGGTACAGGAGGAGTCAGAGGGACAGGGAAGAAAGCTGCGGGAAGGGAGGAAAGATGGGGAAAGGGGAGGGAGAAGAGAGGGGCCAGAAGGGGGGATTAGGGGAAGCTCAGTAGCAGGAGGGAAGGAGGGGGAGTAAAAAGTAGGGAGGGGGGGGAGAGAAGAAGAGAAAAGAGGATGGGGAGTAGGAAAGGGAGAGGAGGCTGGAGGAAGAAGGAGGGGATGGGGAAGAGGAGGATGGAGGGGGAGGAGAGGCCAAGGATGGAGAGGGAGGAGGAAGGGGGAGGGGCGGCGGAGGGAGGGCGGGGGTGTGCGCGCGCGGGTCACGTGCCGCGCTGCCGGCCCGCCCTCCCCCTCCTTCCCCTCCCCTCCCCTCCCCGCGGTGCCCGCTCCCTCCCCTCCCCGCGCTCGGCCCCCCTCCGCTCCCTGCGCTCGGCTCCTCGGCCGCCGCGCTCGCTCTCCTCTCTCCCTCTCCCTCCTCTCCCCTCCGCGCTGCGCAGCTTTGCAGGAAGCCTCCGCAGCCTCCTCCTCGGCCGCCGCCGCCTCCGCCGCCTTTGTTGCCCGGTCCCCGGCGCGGGCGGCCCCCGGAGCTCCCTCCCTGCCCGCCGGTCTCGGTCCCGGGGCGCCCGTCCGGCCCATGAAGGGCGCCCGCAGCCGCCGGCGCCGCCGCCTCCTCCTGCTCGGGCCCGGGGGGACGCAGGACTGAAGCGCCCGGGGCGGGCCGCGAGGGCACCATGGAGGTGAACGCGGGTAAGAGCCGGGGTCGGGGGCGCGGGGTCCCCTCCCCTTCCTCTTTTCCCCCTCCTTTCCCCTCCCCCAGCGACCCGGCCCGGCTCGGCCCCCCCTCACATGGACCGGCCGCGCGAGCCACGTGCGCGCTGTGTTTACGTTCGGCGGCGCGCGGCCGCGGGTTGGCCCGGGGAGCCCGTGACGCGGCATTACATAATGGGGGCCCTGGCGGCGGCGGCGGGCGGGGACACGTGAGGCCGCCGGGCTCCCTGACCCACATTCCCCGGGGCCGCAGGGACACGTGGGGGCGGGGCCGCAGTCCGGGAGGGGGGCGGGGAGCGGGCGGCCCCGCCCCTTTGGAACGCTCCGGGGATGACGCGGGCCCCCCTCCCCCTCCCCGCGGGCAGGCTGGCCCACTGCGGAGGCTGCGCGAGGGCGGGGCGGAGCGCGGGCCGGGCCGGGGGCGAGTGCGGGAGTGCGCGTGAGGGAGACCGCAGTGCGCCGGGCGCCGCCCTCGGGGGGTCAGCGCCCCCGGACGCCCAGACGTCCTTTGTCCGGCCGCAGCGCGGAGGGAGGAAGCGAAATGACTGGGCAGGCGGCCCGCGGGCACCGCGTCCTGGTCGCGGCACCGCCCCGTGCCTCAGTTTCCCCATCTGTAAAACGAGCGGTTCGGCCCCTTGCGGCGCCACGTCCGATGCGCTTGTGCGCCGGAGAGTTTGCCTTGGCACGAGCTTTACCCCCTCCCCCTGGCTCTGGTCGGTTCTGACCGGACCTTTTTGTCCACTGCTCCCGGCCCCGCGGACCTTGGTGTGGCCCCGGCCTCTTCGGACTAGGCCCATCTCCGGACTCCTGATGGGCATGACTCGGAAGGTGATGGCAGCCTCTCTGGCCCCGGGGCTGTCCACGGGAAACAAGCGCAAAGTTGGGGGATTTGGGTTTCTGTGAAAGGAGCAAAACCCCGCACAGCGAGAGCCCTGGAGCTCTAATTAGTGAAAGAGAGAATGTGGTCCCACGTCCCCGCCCCCAGGGGGGAATGGAGGGATTGTGGACGCGAGATAGAGAAAGAAGAGCTCCGTTCTCTTCTTTAGACACGCAAAGAAGTGCGGGGGAGAGAGAGGAGAGAGGACTGGCCCAGGCTGCTGTGCTCCTTAGAGAGCTCAGGGGTGATGGGATTTAGCGGGGCTCAGCTCAGCCTCCCTCCGAATTCACTGTGCAGACCACCAAGGAGAGCTTAAGGGCGCGTGGGAATGGGGCTGGGGCCGCGATCTTGGGCTGCCTTCTTGCCCGCCTTTCCGTAGCTCATCAAAGTGATAAAGACACCGCTTGATTTCCCTTTCACTCTCCCAGAGTCATTCAGTTAATAAGCATTTTTTTTAATCGCCTCCCAGGTCCCAGGCACTGCTCTTAGGCACTGGGTATCCAAAGACAGGCCTCACCCTCAGGTAGTTCACAATTTAACACAGGAGGTGACAAACACATGTGTACAAGTAAACTATATACAGGGTAAATAGGAAATAATCGAGGGAAGGCACTGGAATTAAGAGGCATTGGGAAATGTTTCCTGTAAAATGTGGGGTCTTAGTTGGGACTTAGGGAAGCAGGGAGTGAGAGTGTTCCAGGCATGGGGGATGTCCAGAGAGAACGTCCGGAGCTGAGAGATGGGGTGTCTTATTCATGGGATAGCCAGGAGGCTGGTATCGCTGGATCAAAGAGGATGTGAGGAGTAAAGGTGTAAGAAAGGCAGGAAAGGGCTGAGTTGGGAAGGGCTTCAAATTTGAGGCAGAACATTTTAATATTTGCTCCTGGAGGTGATAGGGAGCTTATGGGGGAGAGGGGATGATACAGTCAATCCTATGCTTTAGGAGAATCACTTTGGTGGCTGGATGGAGGATGGACTGGAATGGAGTGAGCCTTGGAACAGGTAGATCCTCCCAGCAGCTATTGTAATAGGCCAGGTATGAATTGATGAGAGTTTGTGGGGGGAGGGGAGCAGTGTCAGATGAGACAATATGTGGGAGTGTATCAGAGAGATGGCACAGGTGAAATCGACAGACCTTGGCAACAGATTGGACATGGGAAGGTGCTGAGAGATAGTGAGGAGTCCAGGACACCTAGGTTGTGAGCCTGAGGGATTGGGAGGATGGTGGTGGCCTCTGTTGAAATAGCTAAGGTGGGAGCAGGGGGAGGGTTTGGGAGGGAAGGTAATGAATTTAGTTATGGACACATTGAGTTTAAGATGTCTGAAGGGCAGCAGGAGATTATTGGAGGGCAGCAGGAGATTGTTGGAGGGCAGCAGAGAGACTAGGGCAGGAAAGATAGATTTGAGACTCATCATCATGGAGATGGTAATTAAATCCATGGAAACTACTGAGATCACCAAGTGAATTAATATAGAGGGAGAAGAGAAGAGAGTCCAGGACAGACCCTGTGGGACACCAATGGTTAGAGGCTGTGGTCTGAGTGGAAATCCAGCAAAGGAGACTGACTGCACTTAGGGGACGTCTTTGGTCAGCAACTCAGTGCTATGACCAGTTGATAAGCACCAACAGAAATGGGTTGGTTAGAATACTCTTCATTTTCTTATGTAAAGTATGACAGTCTTTTTTTTTTTAAATCCATTTCCCATTATTTCTTGTCAAGAACCTATTTATTTAAGTGAGTCAGATCCTTTTGGTTACATGGTATGTCTAGTTTTTAGTCTTTCTTCTTTGAAGATAATTTTGGTATTTGTGCTCCCACGGTGGTCTGATTATACACACAGTTGCTTTGGGAATGATGCCCACGTGTGTACTAGTCATTTCTTGTCTGGGTGAATCTAATTTCATTAAAAAAATATTTAGTGCTGATTCTTTCTAATGCCTCCTAATTCTCTTCTTGAAGAAAGGGACAGATAACAAGCCTAGTTCAGTGATTCATAGGTGCAGGGAACTCCCTGGTGAGGAAATTCCCTCTCTCAATTCAGTTTAGCACCTCTGTAACTGAAGAGTTTGAGAGTTGCTCAGAGTACTGAGGAGTTGTGACTTGTTAAGAGTCCACCAGCTCACATGTGTCACGGGTGGGATCTAAAGCAAGGACTTCCTGGCTTGGAGGCCAGCTCTCTGTCCACTAGCCCAGGAAGCCTTCTTGAAGATATTTATGATCCATGTGTGTGAGGTTTCTGTAAAGTTTACAAGCCTTTAACCTGTCAGGTTTGCTCCTCTTGAACCATGTTTCCCAGCTTTTTTGGTGGCCAACCATTGATGTTAACTGAATATTGAAAAGGATGTTGATTTAACTTGGAGGGCATTAGCTAGTCATCCTTGACATTTCTCTACTGCCTCATCGTGTGCAGTAGGTATTGGCTTGTGAGGAGAGAGAGAAGAGGGAGTTCATCCAATGGCAACATGCCTGTTGTCCAGACTGATGGACATTTGGATGAATTGTTTGTGGAGTTGTATCTTGGACAAATGCTGTGGAGGGAGAATGAACTGGATCCAGGATGAATAGGTGGAGGCAAGTGTGCTTGATTGCATACAATTTAGGAAATTGTGTGGTGCTTTTATTTTATATTTTTAGAACATGCTGTAGTGATTTTTTCCCTTTTTTTATATCATTATCACTTCCTATTGACAGCCTTCTCCCCACCCACAAAATTGGATAAATAAGTACAGTGTACCAGAAGAAAACATGTTGGCCATGTCTGAAAATGCTCTTGCAGGAGGTGTGCTTCACCATCAGCTCTCTGAATCGTTATTGGTCACGGTGTTCACATTCTGTGGTTTTGTTGTCTTCTGCCTTATTGTGGTTAGTGTGTAAACTATTGTCCTGGCTGTGCTTCAGCTCTCATCAATTTATTGGGCTTCCCAAGTTTCTCTGAATTCTTCCTATTCTTTGTTTCATTTATAGACCATATCCCCAACATAGATAACATTCATATGTCACAGTCAGTCATTCTCCACTTGATGGACATCTCTTTTCTCTGTAATCCTTTGCTATTACAAAAAGAGCTACTGTAAGTACTCTTACATATATGGGGCCTTTTCCTCTGTCCTTAATCTCCTTGGGGTGCATACCTAGTGGTATCACTGGATCAGAGGGCATGTTCAGAAATTTTTTAGTATAATTCCAAATTGTTTCTCAGACTGGACCAGTTTACAGTTCCACCTACGGAGCTTTAGGCTGCCGGCCTTTCCAAAGTCTTTAGGATACTTATGGTTTTGATTTTTTTTGTCAGCTTTGTCAATCGATTGGCATGAGGTGAAACCTCATAGCTGTTTTCGTTTGTAATTCCCTTGGTGATTTTGAGCATTCTTCCATGTGGTTGTTGATAGCTTGCATTTCTCCTTTTGAAGACAGCTTTTTCCTATCCCCTAATTATGGATGTTTTTGAGGGATGGCTTTTGTTCTTTTGTATTTGTTTCAGTTCCCTATGTATTTTGTATATCAAACCTTGATCAGATATTTACTGAATATTTTTCCCCTATTAACTTTTCTAATTATAGTTACATTGATTTTGTTCAATCTTTTCAATTTTATGTAATTGAAATTTTCCACTTTATCATCTCTGATCAGGTCTACTTGTTTACTTAAGAATTTTTCTGCTATCCAGAGTTGATCAAGGTATGTCCTTCCATTATCCTTTTTTTTTTTTGGTGCTGTGACCTTTTATATTTAGATTATTTATCCATTTGGAGCTTATCATGGTAAATGATATAAGGTGTTGAACTAAATCTGATTTCTCCCAAAATACTTTTTGTTTTTCTCTATCAGTTTTTGTCAGAGGTAGTCCTTACTCCATTAGTTGGAGTTCTTAGGATTATTCAGCACTTGAGTGCCCTGTTCAATTGTTTCATTATCATTTATGTCATCTCTTCCATTGATCAACTTTTATGATTACTTTTTATAGGGTTTAGCTTGAGGTTTGATAATGAAAATTGTGTATTAAATAAATGAGTCTAAGCTTTTTCCTAAAGACTCATCTTTTTTGACTTTAATTTTCTTCTAGTGGTGCTGTTTGGATATAGGTGATGGAATACTATGGA